ATGTTAGGAATTTCCTTTGGAATGGTAGGTACTTTCCCTTGGGAGAGTTCTTTCCGGGGTGGTCTTTCCTGGAACCGGGTATTGCCTTAGGGAAATCTGAAACTCGGGCATCTATTGAGCTTGTCATAGCTGGGTGCGACATTGGGCAGCTGAAGCCCTGCCTGTTAAAGGAAGGAACAACCCCTAAAAGACCCTTAACAGGGTGTGGTCCTGTTTGAGAGTGGGCTGGCAACAGCCTCAAAGAATGTGTAACTCTGCCAGAGGGTTTGGCAGAAACTTTTACCTGGTCTTTGGTACCCTGTGTTCTTTTCCCTAGGGGAATGGGAGCTATCTTTACTTGGTTGGGTCTTTATCATAATCCTTGGGGGCTTCCCTGCACTCACTTTCTCCTTTTTTAACCAATGGGCTCTTTGCATAGGACATGTCGAAAGAGATGACTAAAAGATTGTAGCCCAATCCCTGGACCTAACTACAAAGGGTGTCTCTTTTATCCTCACATAGTCATTTTGTAGTTACAAAGAGTGAATTAATTACACACCTGTGGGTTCAAGCACCATCAGAACCAAGAAAAGATAAATGCGCAGAGACTGGATTTAAAGGGACTTGGAGATGGAAGGGATAAATAAAACATGCTTGAGGCAAGTTACTTGCACACAGGTTCAATTGGATGAAGTTGGAAAAGAGAAAAGCTGGTTTCCTGTCAGAGGGTCCAGAGGACCTTTGCCTCTCTTGCAGCTAAGAGCTACAAGTGTTGGTCTAACTGTCAGCATGACAACACTATGAAAAGCTATTGCTTGCAGGAATTTTGGGTTAGGTACCCTTTGAGGGTTCACAAGCTGCCTTGAATGGTTTAGGGAAAGACATGGGGTGCTTTGAATCTGGGGGTGTACTTGGTTAATTCCTCTTTGGGTGTCTTGAAGCTAAGGAAGAGGAAGAGTGAGGGAAAAAAAAATCAGTACCAAGCCAAGCTGGAAAACTGAACAGAGGGTGAGGTCTACAGGTCCAGCTTCACTCATAGGACTGCGTTCCCACTTTGGGAAGATACTGAAGAGGGAAGAGAAGTTGACGTGCACTCCTTTATCACCTATGACATCCTAAACCACCGCCCATAACAACTCTCCTCAGAGTGTCCACACTGTATTAGCCCCAAGAACTGCTCTGGAGGTGACTTAGCGTATACCAGATGAGACACCACTTCATAATGACATTCGCGGATGTCTGCATGGAAGGTCCTGGAATGAGGAACAAATGTTCCAGAATTTGGTACACATGTTTAAAGAGTATAGACCTAGCCTAGACTTCTCAAATTCTAGAGCTAGAACACAGGAACCTTAGCTGAAACACAAGACTCCCGGGCCCAGTTTTGAGATTCTGGGTTAGCATACTGGAGTTGGAGTCGAGGGATCGGTACTTGTTAGCAAGTTACTCATTTGATTTGGATCGGTGGTTCTTAGACTACCCTGGCTGTTTTAGTCTCTCTCAAAGTTAGCATGTCAACAAATGAGAGGCTTTACCAGTAACACAAACAACACAGAATGTTCTTGTTTGTGACGTCATAGACATATTTATATATGAGCGCCTTCTATGGGAAAGAATACATATTTGTGTCCTTGTTACTGCTCTCTCCTCAGCTCCTTTCTCATCTTCTGCCCGTTTGCTGTTGTTATTGTTGCACTAGGATTTGCCTTGGCATTCTTTGACCCTTAATGTGACCCGGAATTAGAGCTATTGGAAGCAACAATACTACAAACTGCAGACCGACTTCTCCAGCAAAAGCTGGAGGGAAGCTTTACATAGGTGGGGAGGGACAGGTGGGAGGGAATTTGCAAAATAGTCTTTTCCTTTCAAACTTCCTTTTGATTTTTCCTTCTAGATTTGAAGATGCTGCAAATTTCTTCCAGAGGCAAATTACTGGAGCCCCAAAGACCCACAATGTTTATTAGAAATGTGTACCACTGTTAAATATATTTTATATTACAGTACACACACATATACCAATTCACATGCACGTGCATGTGCACACACACACATGCAGCATGTGTGTCTTTATGTGCAAATAAATGGGAAATGGAATTAATCTCATTTTCTTTCTCATTACTTAAAATTCTATTGTGTCTACTAGTACATGGTGCTGTTACATTCTCTTTCCATTCAAGAATCTGTTGTACATTGAGCACATCCCCTTCATGCTTCTCACCTGCCCATTTCTCCTTCTCCTTCCATCCCTCTGGTCCTCTCTGCTTCTCTAGACAGTTTCTCTTCTATCGTTTCCTAATTTTTCTTTCTTTCTTCTTCAGACAGCAACTCCCTTGATCCATCCGTTGTCTGAGCTCATGAAGTATCTGCACCTTGTAGAGAAGCTTTCACTGTCTCAAAGGTTGGTCATTCAGAAAAGTACTAAAATGTTCTTTGGGATACACCCAACGGAAGAGCCCTGCTTGCCTCCTAACAGCCTGATCTCTGCGGTCCCACACTTGGCAAGTTTAGGCCTCTTTATCTCTTAACCTGAAATTCTAGCTGCCATCCAGTCATTCTCTTTGCCTCCTCCTCTTACCCTCAGCACTGATTTCCCCTGTCTTGAAGGGTAATAAAGGCATAGCTGTGGTGGGGGGAGGGTACACAGTTCCCTTGCCCTGCTTAGGCAGGTGCAACCCATATCAAAGGAAAGACAGACACTGCTGTATGCAACTGAAGTTGTGATTTTCAGTATTTGGAAATGAACTAAGAGACTTAAACACTCAAGGTTTCTCATAAGCAGCTTTTTAAAAATTATTTATTAATTTTATGTTATGTGTGAGTGTTTTGCCTGCAGGTGTGTCTCTCACTTCCCTGGATCTGGAGTTATGGATGGCTGTGGACTGCCCACAATAGGGTGGCTGGGAATCAAACCTGGGCCCTCTGTGAGAGCAGCCAGTGCTCTTATCCACTGAGTCATCTCTCCAGTCCAACAATCAGCTTTGTTTATCCAGCTAATACGTTTCAACTTCATTGCAACTCTTTTATTCTGTGCACTAAACTATGATTGTAATTTTGTTTGCTACTCTTAACTAAGTATTTTATATATCTTTAAAACTAGCAATGAAAGAAACCAACTTTCTGGATCACATTTTATTACCAGAGGGAAAAAGTCGCTTTATCCCTAATTCTGACACCTTTAAATCTCCATAAAGAAAACCAACAGGCTTGGGGATGTAGCTCAGTGGCAAAGCACTTGCCAAAAGCAAAAAGCACAATTCAACTCAGATTACATTCTTAACACTACCCAGCCTCTTCCCCACACATCTTACTAAAAATATCTTCCCTGGCATTTTTTCTTCTTCAACCATCAAGCACGTGGAAAATTAATTTTCCTCCAAGACACAGTCATTATATTTGTTTAATGGTAAAAATATGAAACTCTAGGTTTTTGTGCAGCTCTAAAGCAAAGAATTGGCCTTAACTTAGTTATTTTGAATATGTTATCTACTGAATTTCAGAGAGAAAAGATCCATCAAAGATAACTGGGACCATGTCCCAAGGAAGACTCGCTCTGACTGAAGAGGGGAAACTATGCGCACTAAGAAAATAAAAGCAGCAGGACACTGAGGCACAGCAGACAGTGACAGAAAGACCGAGCTACACCAGACTTTGTAAAGATGCACCAGAAAAGGAAGCCATTCGTTCCCTCTCGAGCTTGCAGGGATTCCAAATTATTTGTTCTGAAAATTAACAAGGAAAAGGTGAAGTAGGCGTTCAAATGAATTGCCTGATGACATGGTTGATACTTCCATGCAGGCTCTGCGTGGCCAAAGTAGATCTCATCTTATGCATTGTAAGGCTTCAGTGAAATTTCCTATGATGAGACTTTTGCCTTGGGAACGATTCTGAGGCTAACCCTGCTTAGTTTAGTCTGCTTTTCCTGTAATTTTGTACAAATGAAATCACCCACCGCCGTGTCTTGTATTGACTTTCATTTTGCTCTTGCTACTTATCTGAGCAGGGATGGCTCATTTCTTTGATGCAGAGTAATGCTCCATTGTACGGATTTATCACAACTTGCTCGCCCATTCACTAGCATTTTTCCTGCAGCTGTTAAGATGACCTCACTCCTTGTTATAGTCACATGCTGATGACATGGATTGATTTTCAGATGTTAGACAAATTCTGTGTTCCCAGGGCCAACTCCCTGGTTATGTATTATCTTCTTAATGTTGTTGAATTTGATTTGCTAAATTTTTGTATGTGTCTTTGTGCCTATGTTAATAAAGAGTGTTGATCTAAAATTCTCCCTCAACCCCACCACTGAGGTCCTTCACCAGGATGAAACTGACCCTTATAAAACAAATTCAGAAATGTATATTTTGCAATTCTTTATAGAACTTTGAGCAACATTACACTATACATGAAAGGTGACTTGGCAGGTGTTGTTTAAATGTACATACTTAAAATATAAATTTGTTCTTCCTTTTTCGATTTCTCCCTAATCCCCACAACAAACACACTATATCCATTTTCACACAGAATTGGCCAAATTTGTATGTGACTTGTAATCGTAGATTAAAATAAATAATAATAACAATAATAATAATAAATCACAATTAGACCGAGGCATTTTTCTATTTGTTAGAGGTGAGACCGAGAGCCCCAGAAACTGTAAGACTTCCTTAGCAAAGGTCCTTCCTATCCTGTACAGATCTGCACCATGAACACCCATTACAAGTTTTTATGAGTAACCAGTGTACAAGATACCCTGTGTTCCTACTTACATTATAAAGTCAACATGTCAGTACTTAACCTTTCTTTTCTACAAAGGTGCATTCTGCTCTAACCCAAAGAAGGTGCCTGAAGCCTACTAGTTCAACTGGGCATGCTCAGTCGCCAGGCAGATTATTTTTTTCTTTTCTTTTTTTCCCAGTGAAGTAGAAACTACAACTGCGCGTACTGGGTGAGCGGGGGTGGGCGTGCCCTCGTGGAATTTAGAACGTTCCCTCAGCCAATGGGGCCTCGCGACCGGCTGGCGGGGCTCGCCATTGGGGGACCAGGATGCGAGCGAGTGGAGCGCCGGGGGAGGAAGCGGAGGTGCAGGTCGGAGAGGCCGGGCTAGCCGAGCCCATTGCAGGAGCAGCTGCAGCAGCTAGGCAACATCCAGCGGCGTGCCAGGCGGCCCAGCCCGTTGCTTTACTTTTTGCTGCACCAACGTAGTCATTATGCCGAAGAGAAAGGTAAGTCCTGCTGAAAAAAATTGCCCGCAGGCCCTCGAGTGTGCTCGGAGCAAGCCCCCGGCGTTGGCGATGGACGTAGCGATGCGCCTAGTAACTCAGGCACCGGGCACCGCTGCTGCCCGCTCCTTTTGCAGATGCCTGTTGCAGACCTCGCTGTTCCCGCACCGAGCTCCGAGTGTTACTTTCCCTCCGAGGTCGTGTTCTCCCCTCTCCATCAACTCCTGGCTGGAATGGTTTCCACCTCTTGTCAGCAGCAGCCAGGGCGAGTGTCCATCCCCCTCGCAGGAGTTTCCTCTTGGCAAACTCCAGGTTGTTCTCAGGGTGGAGGGAAAACAACTGGAAGAGTCTCCCAGGTCAGGGAAATCAAAAACGGTGGGAAGAGTCTGAGGAGCCAGGCGGGGTCAGGAGTGTCCCCCGGGCCATGCCCAGTGCGAGCGATGCGGGCGGAAGGCCGGGAGAGGGAAAGCCATGTTTCTCTACGCCAGCCCTGCTGCGCCGTGGACCCGTATGTACCCACTCCGGTGTCGGTGTCAATCACCGGCCGCGAGGGCGGGCGGGGCAGTGCGCAGCGCGGGGTAGGCGGCGAGGAAGGGGGCTGATGCCAAGCACACCGACCCTGGCCAAGGTCAGGGGCCACCAAGCGCTGACCGCTATCCCATCCACCACACCACGCTTGGACAGGCCGGGAACCGGGGTCATTTTAGTGTCTTTTCTGCCGCTTGTGGGTTGTGTCCCCTTCCGCGGAGGGACATCACAAGCCACACGTGGGGTCACACAGCTTCTCAGGGTGGGGCTTCGACTTGTCATTGGACTGGTAAAGGAAGGGCAGATTTTTTTAACCCCTCCCTGAGAGAACCGGTGTGTGAGAACTGATTCCTAAAAAAAAAAAAAGAAAGAAAAGAAAAGAAAAAAAACAAAAGAAAACAAACAAACAAAAAACCTGCCCCAATGCCACCTGCCCAAAGGATCTAAGTCAACCAGTGTGGCCATTAAAGTTGGAACTTGATAATGCCCTGCTTTCCCCCAAGACTGCAATGATTTGTGTGAGTGGCTGCATTATTTAAAACTATCGAAGCCTGAAATTTTGGAAGGTTTTGCTTTCTTATATATTGTCACTGGAATTTGATTGTAAACGCTTCCACTCCTTTCAAATTTATTTTTGTTACATTCATTTATTTTGTGTGTGCTGGGGATGCACTGGCTCCCATATGACAGTAGTAGATTCTCTTCTGCCATGTGGCTTGTGGGTTGTGGGAATCGACAGCAAGAGTCTTTACTCCTTGAGCCATTTCCCCAAGCCCAGGCATCTCCATTCTTTAAAAGAAAACCAATCATATTAATTAGAAGGTCTTTCTTCAAGTTTAATGAGAACCTACCCTGTGTCTCATGCTGGGTGGAGTCCGGTGTGCATTATCTCATTGAATCCTCCTAACCACACAACTATTTTCGACTCATTGAGCAGGGTCTGAAGCTGGATTGCCCAACATTTCATTAGCCATTGGTTTATAGTGGAACTGCCATCCATGCAAAGGTATTATTGGCCACCATGGACAATTCTTCTCTTCATTTAGAGATGGGTAGGGGCCAGGAGAGTTTAGGAAATCTAGAGCCTGTAGGTGAAGAAGCTCGTGGCATGCTAAGAGTAGGAGCTCTTGAGTCTCGTTGTTCAAGCTTCATTTGATGGCAGCATTGTTTTTCCAGCACTGTTGTACTAGAATGATGTCACTGTTTGCAGCCTTTTATCTGAGGTTAGTGACGAGCTGGGAATTCTAGCAGAATCAGAGGAACTAATTATCGAGACATGAGTTACAGAGGGAGTTGAGGCTAACTCTTTTCCTGGGGATTACTAACACGTTTGGTAAGCAGCAGGTCACATACACCCTTTATGAATAATGGCTCCTGGTTTGGGGGAACTTTTCCTTGATCAGGGGCCACTGCTGGTGAAACCGTCGCTCATATTTTCTGACACTATCCATCTCTAAAGGAAAAGGGAAGAAAAGAATGGAGAAGAAACTGGCTTTGTGTTTTACATCTTTGAAAGGCAGGAACCTTTATGGAGTTAGCTAGTACTCAGTTCTTCAACTAGGGGCAAACGGGGTCCTTGATTAACAAGTCTTTTTAATGCTATCTGGAGGCCAAACACCTGATTTGCTACCTGAGCAGGAGCAGCCACAGATCACATGACTGTGCTAACCATCCCACCTAGTCATCAAGCCTTAGTGGAGTCTTGGAGTTCCTTGGAACTGACATTAGAAACCATTGTCCCCAGGTGAAGTCTGCACAGCTGTGCAAGAAAGGGACTAGAGACAAGCCATGCATAGGCCTTAGAGGTCTATAAAGCCAGGTGATTGCTGAAGGATTTGCATACTATAATCACCATATTTCCTTGTCTAAAGAACTACCTATTCTGCTTTGTAAATTAAATTGTGTCTGCATACACAGGCAGATGTGCACACACACACACACACACATGCAGATGTGCGCGCACACACACACATGTCACATGGGTGGGAGTGAGAGCCCAAAGTTGGCTACCTACCTCTATTCCTTTCAGTCTTTGACTGAGCCTCAACCTCGTTGATTTGGCTAGACTGACTCTCACTACCTCTCCAGCACTAGAACTATGCACATGCAGGCATCTGACTTTTATGTGTGTGCTGGGAATAAAACCCATGCTTGAGGGGCAGGCACTTGGCTCACTGAGCCATCTTCCCAACATGGTGATCAGGTTTAGAAGTCCCACATCATATTTTCCTTGCCATCTCTGCCCCATGTTTCACTGTTTCATAGAGATGTTACTTAGCAGACTTCTACATCCTGCAGATCAAAAAGTAGTACTAAAGTCAGTGAAAACATCTGAAGACCTCGCACTGTCTAAATATTGTAGGGACACGGTTTGTTCTCCAAGAGCTTATTTTTAATTCAATGAAGTGATAGGATTAGCAGACAGAAAAAGAGTTAACTGACATTTGGGCTTATAGAGGTTACAGAATGTGCTGTTCAGATTGAAAGACCAAGGATAGATAAAAAAGACTGGTTGAATTTGGGCTGGTTGGTCTTGAAAGTGTAGGTAGGACTCAAGGTAAAATTCAGCATCATTTTCTGTTAGCAGGCATTTGGCTGCCTCTTATTATTATACCCTAACACAATTAGCCCTCAGCTATACAACTTCAAGGCCACAATAGCATCTATATTATTATAAACTATTCTTAAGATACTTCTTTGTAAGTTTTACACACACACACGTTTATTAGTGGCAGTAAACCAATTTTTAAATGACCGCAATTTATTTTGATTTAAGCAGTGCAACCCTTAACACTGTAATGTCTTTCTAATATTTAAATGAAGTTAAATATTTCTAAGATTTAAATTTAATAATTTAAATTATTAAATTATAATTGTATATTAAATTATACAATTATATCATTGTATAATAGTATTGTATTATACAATGGATGGTGAGTGAGCAAACTCTCATGGACTCAGGTGGTGGTGGGACAATGACTGACTGAGTTCTAGACTGTTCTGCCCTGACAGCCACAAATGCCAGCAGAGGTCATGTTGTGATCTCATGTTCTATACAGAAGTGTTACCAGCAAGGCCAGGATTCAGTCCTGGCCTGGTCAACGAGCCCATTTTCACATCCTTGTCTTCCACATCATGCCAGAAGTTGTCTAGTACAATATTGTCCACAAAGTGGACCTGGTGTGCACAGTGATCTCTTTCCAGAAAGGAAAGTCTGTCTATTCCTCACCATATCAGCTGTAGGAGTTCCCCGGTGGCATTTTTCAGGTCACTTATGTGTATTATCGTATCATCTGCAAATAATGGCACTTTGACTTCTTTCTTTTCAATTTGTAGCTCCTTGATCTCTTTTAGTTGTTTTATTGCTCTAGCTAGGACTTCATGTACTATATTGAATAGTTATAGAGAGAGTGAACAACTTTGTTTTGTTCCTGATTTTGGTAAAATTGCTTTGAGTTTCTCCCCATTTATTTTGATGTTAGCTATAGGCTTGCTGTAGATTATCTTTATTATGTTCATGTTTGTCTCTTGTATCCCTACTCTCTCTGAGACTTTTGTCATGAATAGGTGCTGGATTTTGTCAAAGACCTTTTCTGCATCTAATGAGATGATCTTGTGGTTTGTGTCTTTCAGTTTGTTTATATGGTAGATTGTATTTATTGATTTTTTGTATGTTGTATACATATCCCTGTATTTCTGAGATAAAGCCTACTTGATCATGAATGGTCTTTTTGATATGTTCTTGGATTTGGTTTGCAAGTATTTTGTTGAGTATTATTGCATCTATGTTCATAGGGGAAACTGGTCTGCAATTCTCTTTGTTGAGTCTTTTTGTGGTTTGGACATCAGAGTAACTGTGGCCTCATAAAATGAATTGGGTAATCTTCCTTCTGTTTCTATTTTGTGGAATAATTTGAGGAGTATTGATGTTAACTCTTCTTTAAAAGTCTGACAGAACTCTGTGCTAAAACCAACTGGTACCAGACTTTTTTGATTGGAGAGTTGTATGTAATGACTGTTTCTGTTTCACTAGGGGTTATATGTCTGTTTAAATTGTTCATCTGATCTTGATTTGACTTTGGTAAAATTGAGAAAATTATCAATTTCTTTTAAATTTCCAATTTTGTGGAGTACTGGTTTTTAAAGTATGTCTTTATGATTCTCTGTATTTCCTCGGTGTCTGTTGTTATGTCCTCCTATTTGTTTCTGATTTTATTAATTTGGATATTTTGTTAGTTTGGAAAAGAATTTGTCTCTTTTGTTGATTTTCTCAGAGAACCACTCTTTGTTTCACTGATTCTTTGTAGTGTCTTCTTTGTTTCTATTTTATTGGTTTCAGCCCTCAGTTTGGTTATTTCTTGCCATCTACTTCTCTTGGGTGAGCTTGCTTCTTTTGGTTCTAGAGCTTTTAGGTGTCCTACTATGAGATCTCTCCAAATGTGTGTGTGTGTGTGTGTGTGTGTGTGTGTGTGTGT